GCGTCCAGATTCCTCTGAATATACAATTTTATAAACAGCAGTCATTTCATGAAAAGTCTGTCAGTGTTAACATAAATGCATGTGATTACAAGAAAACTCAGGGCACTCCAAGAGCTGTGTAAACAAGCTGTAAAAAAAGAAAAGGGATTTCTCGAATTTTCATAACAGTAGGCTGTAGGTGTTGTAAATCTCTCGGCCTCCCACAGTCGTTTTTCCAGTCAGGATGGCGCTTGTAAAATCCACACACTTTACTGCTCTTGCGTTGTTCCTGTAAAGAAAATGCACGTGTGTGGTCCTCATCTGTCCAGTCTTTTCAAGGCCCTGTTGCTTGAGGCTGTATATGATTTATTTATATGTGCTCCCAGACATAAAGAACAGCAGCCCTGCTAAACTTTGAAGTACTTTGAGCTTTAAAAAGAGAGGGGACTCAAATAAATTCACATTTATTTTGCACAAAAAAATCTCCCCATGAAGAGTGTTTTTTTTTTCCCCTCTTTGTCAAAAAAGGTGGGAGGGAAACAATGCCAAGTGAGTGCCGGACACACAAATGCCCAAAGGAGCAAGACTTTCCCTGCTGGCTGGATCATTTGCTGCATGTCATTCCACTATTGTGTCTTCATGTATTCCCTGACTAAATAAAAGCATAAATGTATTATTATCCTTACCAAAGAAAAATTGGCTTTACCGGTGTTAATGAAATAGAAAAATACAGCACTTGCTGTGGTTCTAAATTAAAGGTTAAAAAAACAGAAGCAAAGTACAAAAAGCTCAAGCCATTGATTTTCAGTCCAGGTCCTTTATAATTAGCATACCTCAGCCTCGTCTCCCAGTTTCCCCTCCTTATGAATGGCTTCTCGACAGCCTCCCTCCCACTGAGACCATTTCTGGTGAGGCTTCAGTGAACAGTAGATGGATAAATTCAAGAGCCAGATGCATTTCTCAGGTCTAAATAAAATTGAATTGAATTGAGGTCCTGTGTCAGGTCTTTTGTGAATTTGTTCACATGTCTCAAGAACAAGACTACATTGTTCATCTACTGTAGATATTTTTTTTAGGCCTTCCACTTCATTTTTTCGCCTCCAATAGTCCAGTTTCCTCAAATCCTTTTAAAGACCCACTGGACATCATGCAGTGATATACCAAGTTCTCTGTTAGGTTGTCTGTTATGCACAGACAACACCGGTTCAGCCTTTTTATGCTTGAATGATTCATAGGTCAGTGTTAAATAACGTAAGAAGCAAGGAAACCAAAACAAAAGGTCAGGTCAGGTACAAACAGACGAAGTTAAGAGCTTCTTTAGCACTCAGCTTGTCTATCCACTATCAGCGACACACTATGTTAGATTCAGTCTTCTCTTCTTTTTGAAGCAACACACTACTTTCTGCAGTACAATACTGTTCAACTGATGCTCACGAGGGTATGGTACCACGGTGCGCACCCACACCGCCTTTATGCAGACAGAGGGGTTTGTAAGTAATCCAGAAAAGTTGGAATGCCTGTAGGAATTAGTAGCGCCAGTTTTCAAGGCTTGATCAGCCTCCATTGCTGCAGAACAGATTGAAATTGTTAACATATTTTGCGTTCCCTGAAAAAGGCCTTTTTGTATAATTCAGAAATGTAAATTATTTTTAAGTTTTGGAGCTTTGAAGCTATTCATTGGACTTATTTGCAATAAATAACTGGAAAAATTGAGGTGTTCTAAAACTTTTGACCGGTAGTGTATGTACGTGTACACAACGTACATGTCATGGACACAAAATTAAAACAGCCAC